CCGCCCCGGCGCCTCCGCCCCCGCCCCGCGCCCCGGCTCCACTGGTCTGGCTGCTGCGCCTCGGGAGGGGCTGCGAGAGACTCGGTCCTGCGGCGCCTGATAACTTTTTCCCTTCAACTCCCTTGACGGAAGCCGGACTGCTAGTTGCCGTCTCCCTCCCCCTTTCTCTTTTATTTCCTTTTCTTGTTCCTTCCTTCCTCCCTTTCTTTTCCCCGGCGGCGGCTGCGCCCGACTGAGACAGAAACTCGCCTCAGACGCCAAAACTAAAGTTGAGAGAACCGCCCGCCCGAGCCGCTCGCCGGCTCCGCCTCCTCTCGGCTCTTCCTTCCTCTGCGCGCCCTCCCGCACCGAATCTGTGGCAGGCCGCTGAGGGAAACTTTCCCCTGCAAGTTACTACATTCCTGCAGACTCGCGGCCTCCACCGCCTCTCCCGGCCGCACGTGACCAACTCGCCCTCAATCCTGTCCGCCGCCGGCGCCTCACCCGGCAGAGGCTGAGAGCGTGCCTGGTGTTCTGCGCCGCGAAGGCAGCTGGCGCGACGACCAACGTTGGGTGCAATCTGGGGTCCCAACTCTGCGGAGAACGCGGCCGCCCTTGGCCGCAGATAGTCCTTCCGCCCCGCCCGGCCCCTTCCCCCGCAGGGCTCGGGAAAGGCTCTTCCAGCCCGCCCGGACAAGCCAAATGGCCAAGGCCGAAAAAAGTCGGGAGAGGACGTGTAAAAACACCTACACCCACCCCGTTAGCTCCACCTGACCCAGCGGCGTGCCAGTGCTGGCTGCAGGCCGCAAGGATAGGTTGGAGTTAACATCGATATCATTAACAGGCACCGATTATTAATAAAGGCCAATTTTCTAACATTAGCCTGCTTTTGTAAAATTGTTTTTCACTTACCTCAGTATGCCAAAACCCACTTGAAAGGGATAAACGATTTCTGTAGTTGAAGCTTTGAGACTAGGTCTGTGACTCGATGTAACTTACTAAAGGAAAACATTCCCTTAAAAGTGAAACTCATCGGCTTTTTTTGCACTCAAACTTGCAACAGAGTCATTGGAAACCTCAATGCAAAAAAATCAGTGTTTATTTTCCGTTACAAGCATTCCTCTTTACCTTTTGCCTACCCCTTCTTTGTTGTCCCTACACCTTGAACAAGAGGCGGACGCCATGAATGTGGACTGAATAAGAAATGAATGGGTGAGATCACCCCAGGCATCTGGTTCTCCACGTGGCAGGTCATATGTGCAAGGATTCCATTTGAAATCACTCAAAATCAACGAAAATTTGTTTGTCATTACATTCTTGCTTTTTTTTCAAAAGCAGCATTACTGAGAGATAATTCACATACAGTACAATTTGTCCATTTAAGCAATTAAGTATTTTTTTTTTTTTTAGTATATTCACAGGTTGTGCAACATCACTGATTTTATTTTTATTTTTATTTTCGTTTTTTTTTCTTAATTTTCATTCTGGTTTCAAATTCCCTAACCCATTCTGAAGACATCTGGCTGCTTCTTTGAATGATTTTGTCTGCAATGCTAGCGAAGCAGATTAAGCAAGGAAAGGGCCCCTGAGCAAAATGATAATCTCTTCCTCCAGCCAGGACATGCCTGGGAGAATTACGAGGAGGGATCTGTATCATTTGGTGTGACAGGGCTGAGCAAGGAGAGCAGGCTTCAGACACTCAAGATTCAAACCCAAGATTCTAATCAACTGCTCTGGACCCCTAGTTTCCTGTCTGAGGAAAAGAATCAGTGTAAATGACGCCCCTGACTGCTTCTTGGATTTATTTCCACCCCCACCTCCAAATGGTGAGTGTATTGAACCACAACTTTGTAGGTTCTGGAGTTAAAGAGTTTTGAGTTCAGGTCCTAGTTCCATCATTTACTAGCTGTGAGATGTCGGACAAATTACCTATTTCCTGTTCTTTAATATTGGCGTCAGGGGTAATAACACCTACCTCATACATTGTTGGGACATTAAATGAGTCAATGGATATAAAATACTTAGCCCAGTTTTTGACATATGGTGAGTTCTGCTTAAATGTCAGCTATCATCGTTGTCCCATGTTCACAGATTCCTTCACAGGTAATGGCATAGCCTCTCCTTTGCAGCAACCCTCCCTCCCTAAGCACAGCCTCAGGGACCCTGTTCTTCTTACCCAATCAATCCACACAAACAAAACCTTTGGGCAGAAACTCTGCTGAAGAATTTCAAATTTCAACTGAAAGTCTTAAGAACCAAAGTGATTGAAAACCTGGAATTATAATGGAAGTTGTCCCTTAACTTGATTATTTACTAGTGTGAACACTATAATTAAAGGGCTTATGATACAACAGAGGTTGCTTTGTTCAATATTGTTTCACTGCCATTAAATTGAGAACAAAATTACTTTGATAAGTGGATTGAAAGGCTCTTTGGAGTGATTTTGTGTTCTGTAAGCACTTCTGTATCATCAACCAAAGATTTTGTAACTTATTATTTTTCATCTATAAAATTTCAGTCACAGGTTAGTAAGGGATGAAGATAAGGTGTATTCAATCCTTTGTCCCTTCCTTCCTCCCCTGTCCCCCTTTTGGAGCAATTATCAGTTCAAGGTACCTTGAAATGGGGTAAAATCACCTTCTTCATATGAAGATTCACCATTATCCTGGATCATTTTCAATGTTCGTGTAAATCGCTCTCAAAACACTAGTCTTACAATTACTTGACCTCTCAATACAATGGACCCTCATCTCTGCTCCACTTTAGTCACCTGCTCCTACATCTATACCCTGTCGTTTTCCAGAAATACTCCAGTTGTGAAACTATGGTATACCATTCTCTTAATAACCATTTTGTTCTCTCATTTCATTACTCACACCTCATTTATCATTAGCCTCTCCCTTTTCTACAATCTGTCACTCCCTCCTCTTTTTACGTTGCTATGGTTTGAATGTTTGTGTCCCTCCAAAATTCTTGTTGAAACTTAATTTTCAATCATTAGTATTAAGAGGTGGGGCCTTTAGGAGGTGATTAGGTCATCAGGGGTCCTCCCTCATGAATGGGATTAAGGCCTTCATAAAGGAGGCTATGTGCAGTGTTTGGCCCTTTTCCCTTCCATCCCTTCCACTACGTGAAGACACAGCTTTTGGACCTACTGGAGGATGCAGCAACAAGGTGTTATCTTGGAAGCAGAGAGCAGCCCTTAGCGGACACTAATCCTGCCAACGCCTTGATCTTGGACTTCCCAGCCTCCAGATTGTGAGGAATACATTTCTATTATTTATAAATTACCAGATCTGTGGTATTCTGTTATATATAACAGCACAAATGGACTAAGACCACTTCCTTGCCAATTCAGTTTGGAAATCATAATCCACTGCTTCAACCTCTCATAATTGTCTATGCTCTCAATTCTATTGTCACGTGTATTTTAATGAACTAGAGCTGTTAAACTGGATTAACCTAGTCATCTGTGTTTTCCACTCCAATACCTAAGGTTTATGGGGCCCAGGGCCCATATTCATTAAAAGCTTCAATCAAAGCTTTTGATATTTTGCCCAAGTGAGGTTATACTACCATCTCAGAGACATGCCTACACTATATGATTATAAGAAGGTATTCATTGTAGAACTTTAAACTTTGTCCCATTACCAAATGACAATAACTATAATGCATTATGAATTAACATTTTATGTAAATTCTGTAATTATCTGGTAAACAGCACAATTATTTTGCATTGTAATTATCATATGTTAAAAGTATTAATTTGCTAAGTGCAAACATTTGAAACATGCTCTGATTTTATAACCCTCTCTTGGCATCCCGACATGCCTGAATACACTGGGAACTTGAAAAGAAGAAGTGGCCAGCCCTCCCCCAAGTCTCTGGGAAGCCTGGATTGACACCTTGGTTCCTATGGGCAACTGAAGGGAATCTTACAGGTTTGTGGATTGGTGCCCATCCACATTTATAGTTTCTAACCACATATTCTTGTATGTGCAATGAGCCTCTTCTCATATGACATGGCTATTCTAAACTTAACCACTCTCCTCATCACATTTACTCATCATTGCCCTACCCCTCAGAAAATATCATCTCCAACTGCTCAGAGATACAGAGGCCACCATGCACAAAAGCCCTGAAAGTCTTCCTCTGAACCTACAGAAACGTGTCTCCATCCTCACAAGCCCTTTTCTCCACAGGTACATTTTTGGAAAGAGCAGTCCACATGCCTATTCTTCACTTTCCATCTTTCATTTAGTTACACTTCAACTCAACACATCTAAAATTGAACTCTTTACCCCAACTGCTTCTACCACTAACCATGCACACACTCTCCTGAGCTGTATCCTCCTTCTGATTTACCATCACATTTAATGACATCGTGATCCACCCACTTGTTCAAGCAGGAAAACTGGGTGTCCTTTTAAACACCTCCCTCTCACCATCACTTACATCCAACCAGTTACTAATTTGTCTTAATTTTCTTTCATATATCTGAAAGTCTAGCACCCAACTCCATTCCCATTTTCTCTTCTAATTCACTTCCCTTTTTAAAAAGCAGAACCTCCAAAATCATGTTTCTGCTTCTAGTTTTACCTACTTCCATCAGACTTCTCTTCTGATGTCAGAGTGATCTTTCCAACGTGTGAATCTGATCATGGTGCAATACTGTTCAGGACAAATTCAAATCCCTTAGTATGGCATATAAGGCC